TAGCCCAGGCTAGTCAAACTGAACCCAGCCTCAATGCTGTCAGAGTCTTGATAGCAGGGCCATTGATTCCAGTTTTGTTTCAATAATTTTTGTCTGCAATTAAAACAAAAACTATTTTTAAAAAAAAAGCTTGGGTCACAGATATAACAAAGCTACTGATCCGTTGCTTCACTCCACCCAGCTCTGTTTGCCATTCCTGACAGTTTGCACTACACCAAGACCCCTTGGATTTGGAGGAGAAGGGAACTGCAGAGCTGTCTTTTTTGTCAGAGTAGTGCTTGGTCCCCTGGGTAGGTAAGAGCACAATCTAATTTGCTTTCTATTGATGTAATAAAACACTAGCGAAAAGCAAGCATGGAAGGAAAGGGTTTATTTCAGCCTGCAGGTAGGAGTCCATCATTAAGAGAAGGCAGGACAGATGCTGAAGGAAGGAACCTGTAGGCAGGAACGGAAGCAGAAGGCATGGAGACCACTGCTCACTGGCTTTTCTTGATGGTTTGCTCAGTTTGCTTTCCTATGCAATTCAGGACCTCCTGTCTGGGAGTGGCACTGTCTACAGTGGACTGGGTCAATCATTAATCAAGAAAATGCCTCACAGACTTGCCTACTGGTCAATCTGATGAGACAATTCCACAATTGACATCCCCACTTCCCAGACGACTCTAGCTTGGGTCAAATTGACAAAGAACTAAGAAGCATAGCACATGGGCGAGATGGCTAAGGTAATGAGGATGATATACTTTTCAAGTCCCAGGCAGGGCAGGTTACACCACAGAACTGTTTTATACATTTTTGTCACTCAGATGCCTGAGGGAACTTTGAAAGGCAGGACGGCAGCTTTCCCTCTTGTACTTGGTTTTCTGCCTTTGATCTTTCATGATGGATAGCAATTTGCTTATTGTTTATCCATATCATATCCAAAAAGAAACAAAAAAAAATTTTCCAAGGGAACCTGCATCATTTGACTTGAATAGCAGGTCTTACTGAAGATTATCTGCAGACATAGTGGGAACTTGATAAAGGCTTGTTTGATGTGAAGAAGTAAACACTCCATACTTGACTTTGCTCCCCCTAGACACTTTCATTGACAACAGATCTTCCTCATTTTTTCAAGACATCCATGTGTTCATAGGGCTACATTTTAGTCTCCAAAGCTTTGGCATCCACTCCTTTCTCTCTTAGGTGAACATACCCACACATGGACATAGATCTATACATATGATGTTGTATGAAAAAAATTAATAAAAATAGGTTCATGAAATAAATCCTTGCAAAAAGGATATTTGTAGAACACTTCAATTTCCTAAACTTCTAGCAGGAACATTTCTTTTCTTAAATGTAGAGGTATTCTTCTAAGTTTATTTTCCAAAATGTTTTCTCATTTGTGTGCAAGCTTAATCATCTTAAAATATTTTTTGTGTTTTGGCTCAATAATAACAACAACAAAACCAAAAACAAACAAACAAAAAACAAAAACAAAACAAAACAAACAAAAACCATTTAACCAAAGGCTCACGTTCCTGGTCTAGTGCCTCTCACACGTATATTAGAACTTAGGTCTATCATTGGGAAGTTAAATTTGTGGGACAATTGTTAAATTTATGAGACAATTCCACATTTCTTTCAACTTTGAGAAGATTTTTCAGACTTTCTGAAGATATTGATATATAAACAGCTTCAATTTTGAAGTGCTTTCATTCCAAAATTTAATCATCTTTAAACTTAATCTGAAATGCCAAAAATCCTTTATAAGCTTTAACTAAGTGAGTCTTTGGAGAGTGGATCATGTTTCAGTCAGTCCATGTTTCTACCCTACAAAGGAGACCAACAAGTTACTGCTGTCACTTCCAAATGCAAGTCGTCATTTTTATTTGCAGATCTGGGACCCCGAGAACCGGAGCCTGTGGGAGGGACCGTTCGTGCCACTTGACTGTGTTGTCTTGTCATGAAACACTTACGCTAATTTAGCCTCAGGTTAGTCATCGCTGGGTTAATTTGTCACATATTGGGAAGGAGTGACTAATGAAGTGAGCATCGCAAATTGTAGACAGGATTCAGCTTTAATTTCCCGTTTAGATAGACCCTGACATGGAAGATCCTACAGGAATTCTATGTGGTTCTGCAGTGATTAGAGTATGTAACACAAGGATACATACAACAGGACACATGCAATTTGTTGGTGGGGATAAAATACAGAATACACATATGCCTTGAATTATATTATTCTCTTCTCCACCTCTTTTTCTCCCCCTTTGGATCCCAAATGCTATCATTTTTTTTTAATTCTAAAGCAAGCTTGAGACATAAGAAAGCAGTATTAAGACAATTTGAAATGATCATTGTTTTATTTGATGTTTTCTCTATAAAATAGTTGCGAGCCTTGTGCCAGTTTCTTATAGGTTCATTACACTGATGGGTTCTACTAAGGAATACTTCCAAACTCATGATTAAAATAGCATTTCTGGGCCTCTGAGATGACTCAGCAGATAAAGGTACTTGTGGCAATCCTGACAACCTGAGTTCAGTCCCCAGCTCACACCTAGCGGAAAGAGGGACTCAATGCCAACGAGTTGTCCTCTGACTGCCCCAGGAGTGCTGTGGGACATGCATGTCCATATACACACCTTTGCCTAAAAGTTATTCAATGTAAAGTAATAACAATGGCAATAAAAGAACTCCAGTAACTTGTCTTTTGTGTATTATATATACTACATATTACATAACAAAGCCCTTTTTGTCTTTTTATTATATAAATTAAAATTTGATAAAATTTATTAACAAAATTTTGCCAAGAAAAATATATTTGTTAAATATAGTTTGAGTTCTTGATAAAAAGGCGAGCACTTGGACCCGATCCGCATGAAATGGCAATGCATGAGTGGGGTTGTTTGGCCCGCAGGAAGCTGGAGTAGGTCTGGATTGCTGGCATTGCTTCCTCAGCAAAGAGAACAGTTTTAATCAGTTACAAAAATATTTGCAATCCATATGCTCCTCTCTGCTCACTCCCATATGCCCATATTCTCTTTTATCTTGGGAGATGATGACTTCATGATTCAGCCGTGTAAGAATAATACCTCGCTGACTTTAGAGTTCAGTTCTATTTCAAAACACGTCCTGGAAATTACACGCACACACGGAGATCCAGGCTGTTAGCACTTGGGTAGTTACGTGAACAGGAGTTTGTTCCGTCTTCTTGGGAAAAATTATATCTTACATCCTCCTACTGAAGCCAGGGTGGGTATCTGAGGCTTAGCGTTGAAACTCCATTGTCATTTGCCTGCTGGTTTAAATGGCCCTGTGCAAGCTGTGAGGGACAGGAAAATGAGGCAAAGCCTTGTGATAATTCACAATAACTTCATTCACTTTGGGAAAAGGAAAACCACACAAAAAACACTTGGTAACTTTTTCTAACAGGAGTGTTTGTTCTAGATAATGGGCTTGCAAGCCATCGATCACTTCTTAGTTTTTATTTAATTAAAATTGGGCATCTGTCATAGTAGCCATGGCACAGGAGGTCAGAACAGAAAAATGAAAACTGACTCTCAATTAGTGATCTATTTTGTGGGAGATGTGTGCTTGCCTACTCCAACAGCTATACGGTTTCTAACAAAAAGGTTGATATTTTTAAAACCAAGATATCCATTTGGTATAAAAGATGAATAAATCAGAAACCATCGATGGGATGCTTGGTTGTATTTTCAACAGTTGTTTGCCACTGTACAACAAATGGCTTTGTAACCCGATATGCCATTAACAGGGCCACTACCAAATCTGAAAGGAACCAGCCAGGCTCATCTAAGCTCGTGGGGAGGAGGTGGCAAGGAGAGAGGGTTTCTAACCTTGGGTGCAGGATTTGGATGCAGCTTGTGTTTTCACAGACTACAGGACTCAAGAGGTGTGTCTGCTGCTGGACTCAGCGGGTGTACTCCCCCCCCCCTCCCCGGAGGCTGAGTTTGGGCTGTGGTTTGCTTTTGGCAAATGCTATCAGGAGCCCGACTCTCTGTTTGCATTCAAGCTGTCTGTGTAGCTGCTCCTGTAGGAGTTACTAGAAAAGAAAGTGTACATTAGAGCGTGGATTGTTTGCAAGGGGCTTGGAGTGTGCCAATCTGTTGCTTGCTGCGACAGCGATTCTTTGCTGTCACAGGGAATGCTCAGCTGGCAGAGTTGTCCCGGTAGGGAGGGAAGGGAGGGAAGTGGAGAGTTGTTCACCATGAAGGGGGGATGTAAGGGATGCTTTGCAAACTGTCTGGAATGAAAAGTGCTGTCTCAACTGCGCCAGTGCGAACGTTTTCTGCTTTTTTCTCTCTCTCTTAAACTTTACAGACAAGACCTCTTTAAAACAAAGCCTCTACATACACTGCATGAAGATACCTCTTACAGAAGAGTCATAGACAAAGAATTAAAGCATATCACATCCACCTATAATTTAGACAAAGGCTTTGGTTTAGAAATAAAAAAGACAAACCTTTGGCATGTAGGTGACTTTGATTCTCATTGAGGCAAACACACAAACTTGTTTTTTTTTTATAATACAAAGTGCGAGATTTCACTAAAAAAGGTTAAAATTGAAGTGAGTAATCTTCGGTGCATAATTCAGTTGTTAATTTTAGCTCCTTGCGTGGGTGCCGCTCTGACTTGAACAGCCGGCTGTAGCCTTCATTGGAGAAGAAGCCGGCAGCTTGGGACAGGTGGAGCTGGAGCAAGCTGGGAGAGGGATTTGCTGGAAGCTGGTCATTAGTGTTAGAAACCCAGTCTTACTTATTGTGTGCTTCTCCCGACCGCCACAACTGTTGCCATGATGATTTACTGTTGCTCTTTTTTCAGGTTGTCGACCATGTGTCAAACCGTGTAAGGAAACTGCCTGGAGATGGACATTCTGAACTGCTAATGGGGACATGGGACGGCGGTCACCTCTGATCACTTGTGTGGATTCTCCTGGGGCAGAACGACAGAAGCCGCCAGTCCAGACCTACAGCTGGAATTCTGCGTGAAAGGTAAAGCATTTGTGGGGCTGCAGCTCCATATTTTCTTGTTGCTCCCTTTGAACTGCCATGCCTGTCTGCATAGACTGGTTCACCACATGCAGCCCTTAGAGTCAGGACCTGTCTGCTGGGGTGTCATTGGGCTTGTAGTTTTGAAAATTGGAGCTCAGTTTCCTCACTGTTGTCTTTTTTTTTTTATTTTCTTCTTCTTCTTTTTCTAATTGAAGCACTCTGAAAATTGAGTTAGGACAACAGAAGTTCTCTGTCCTCCTGTTCTAGACACTGTTCAGAGAAAGCAAGCTGTTCACCAATGGGAAAACGAAACTTTAATTTTGTTAGCCACACACGCTGGCTGACACGGAGATAGAAGAAATGTACCCAAAGGCGGCAAATCCTAAAACTTTCCCAAATTTAAAACCAGCAAACTAACCAGCTCAAACCTCTGCCTCCTTTAGGGAGCCTTTTCCTTCTACAATCCCACAGTCCTCTGCCAAATAGGTCCACGTACTTGAAAATTTTTGTTACAGGCCATCTGCTCTGGCAGGGTAGGTTTTAGCAAATTAGCAATGAATTTGCTACGGTGTTCATTTGTCTTCTGCTTCTAGCAGAAACTAAAGTTACTGAATGAGCAAGTGCTAATGCAGCCCCCCTCAGAGACATCAGAACTTCGGCTGTCCAAGGCCAGTTACCTGTAATGGCTAGGATGGGACAGTGAATAGTGGGGACATTTGCAAAGAAAGGACTTTCTGAGCTGCCTCTGCCCCTACTCTGCCCCTCTCTTCCCTTCCTCCCTCCTTTCTCTCCCTCTCACTTTTTCCTTCCTTCCTCTATCCCTCTTTCCTTCCCTTTACTTTTTCATAGTTAAAGAAAGGAGCAGGAAGTAAATAAGTAAACAATAAGTGATTTGTGAGCACATCAGAGGGAAAGAAGTGCCAGGGATTTTTAGGGTGGGGGAAACAATAATGGAATTAATGTCTGAAAAGCCACTTCCTGTCTGGGGAGCAATGTGCTGTGAGTGTGGAGAGGCAGGGGGCAGCAGCAGCAGTCCTTAGTACTGCCTTGCAGGCAGCTCAGGAGCTTGCAGCAAGGGTACCTGGCAGGAACCTGAGCAGAGGGGTGGCTGCTGCTGCTGCTACCACGACTACTACTTCTGTTCGTTGTTAATTTGAAGCCTAAATGTGCTGACCCTGGGAAGTTCTTGGTTAAAAGTAGATCCCAGGTTTATACCAAATCATAACTTTTCCCTCTGACTTTTGTCCACTTATTTGTCCCTGAATATGGTGCACTGTATCCCTTGCTGCTAGGGATGTGTTTCCATAGTTGAAACTTAATAACAATTTTCTGAATTACATGTGAGGTACCACCTTCCATCAGTAAGACCTCTTGACTCAGAAGTTAGAGGTTACCTGTTGAAGCGCTGGGGGACTATCCCCATTTTCCTTCTTTCACTCTGTTAGCAGAATGTGGGGACTAACCGTTGGGTGGGAGCAATGTGTCTCAGCTAAGATGAGTTGATTCATGTTGACAGAAGGTGCATGCATGTGTGCCGGTGTGTGCGTGGCAGGGCTGAGGCTGAGGTGGCGCGCCTGCGTCCTGTGTGTGCATTTGCTGTTTGATGTTGTCAACTGACTCCTCCTGAGTGTGTCAAGTTGGTAGGGATGCTGGGCTGCACCTCTGGATGTGAATTCGCAGGGAGGCACAAGAGAGCTCAAGAATAATTGGAAACGCTTCCCTGCACTGATACTGTTTTCTGATACTGTAATCTTTTAGGGCCTAAAACCTCATTGTTTCAATTTGCATCTGGGAGAATGTCTGAGCAAGGAGAACTGAACCCGGCCATAGTGGAGGAAGGACGGACTGAGCCAGAGTCCGCCCCAGAAAATGGCATCCTTAAATCGGAAAGTCTGGATGAAGAAGAGAAGCTGGAACTCCAGGTAAGCCAGAGGGACCTGTCTTGGCCTTTCACCTCTAGGATGTATCTAAAACTGCTTTAGGAATTTGGTAGTTAAGGATCCAGGAGATCAATGGAAAAATCCTCATCCAATTGTTTTTTTAATGATGCCATAAAATGCCTTTAGAAATGAAAACTAATATCATCAAAGGAGTGTATTTAATTACTGAATTTGCATACAGGAGCCCAGTATCCCTTGCTAGACCATCACAAGCTGTGCATGCAGGGCCTTTGCAGATGGGGCTGGAGGCTCTTGGAGTCTTGACACAGATTCCCTTTCTCATGGAAAGATGGAGATAGAGCTCATAGCTGAGAAATGTCAGAGTCATGTATTCTATAAACCATAGACATGTTAAGGTTCATATCTTCTTATACCAGTCTAAGCTCAAGAGTCCCCAGCTGAAGAGTCAGGACACTAAAAAGGATTGAGGGAGGGGTGGGTACTGGCAGCAGTTGGAAGAATCAGGAGAGAGACAGGATTAAATATGGAAGTGAATTACAAAGAAAAAGTATTGGTCCAGGGAAGGCCAACTGAGCTTGAAAATGCTACAGGTTTTCCTTTAACTGATTTACGAATGTGTTAGCATTTTCCACAATCCAGTCTTGTCCAAGGTCAATGATCCCATCGTGCCCCATCAGCCAGGCTGTCTTCTCTTCTCGCCTGTTTCTGCGCTGGGGAGAAAGGGCTCTGTCAATGACACATGTCAAAACACTGGGACTTTGGCCAGGAGGGTGTCCTTCCTAGTGGTCAGAATACCTTTGCTTCCACTGAGGAGATGTCCCTGGTCAATGATGGTGTCTCCCCCGCTTTCCTTTTCTCTCCTCCGCTCTCCTGCATCCCTCCCTGGCTTCCTCCCTGCCTCTCTGGAGTTCACTGTTTGTTTTCTTCTGTTTCTGCCATGCAGCGACGACTGGCGGCTCAAAACCAAGAGAGAAGGAAATCCAAGGTAGGGATCTTCGGGTTCCAGGAGTCGCCATCAGTTACAGTAAATCACACACTGCCCATCAGAGCTGCACATGTGCCCACAGCCCAGAGGCTGGGGTGGGTCCTGCTGTCCTCTTACAGTGTGGTTGCGATCCTCAGCCTTTCCTTCTGATATGGGTGCTTGTTGTTCACAAACCGAACACCTGTAGTGTTGTAATCTCTCTGTTTTTTACACCCAAAGGTGCAGTGGTGCTTTACACAATTTACGTCCACTGGAACTTTTGTTTGTTTGTTTGTTTGCTTGCTTGCTTTTGGATAAAACTTAGAGTAGACATTTCAGTCTTCCAAGTGATTTCTACCTAGAGATAACTGGGCAGTGTTGCTCAGTGCTTGGAGCACCTTCTTAGTGGAATCTTTTAATTTAGTTTTAATGGAAATTCATCGTGGGGTGTTTCTTCTGATATTTTCACAAATGTGACATCCGTTCACCCTTCATGCACATGGGTCAAGATAGTGAAAAACTGTTGCATAAGTTTGTGTTTTCTCCTTTGGCATGGGGCTTTCTTGTTCTTTCTTAGCCCTTTGCACACAGAATCACGCAGCACTTTCCATCCTGTCCTGAGAAATCTGGTTTGGGAATGTTTGTGCAAATGTGGTGGCCATGCTTTGACAGACTGAGAATGTTTTCTGTTTTTTTACCCACCTTCCTCAATCTCCAGTCAGGAGCAGGCAAAGGGAAGCTGACCCGAAGCCTGGCTGTCTGCGAAGAGTCTTCAGCTAGACCTGGAGGGGACAGTCATCAAGACCAGGTATAAAGTCTGCTTTGAGAAGGACTTGCATGACTAGATCTTGGTGTGAATGACCAATCGCTACTTTGACATTAAAGGAGGTTTCAGGGGAGAAAATGGAAATTGGAGAAAGATAGCATTTTCTTGCTTCATCCCCTGTTTCTGAGATATTCTGCATAGTTAGACATTTGGGGCTGGGTCCATAACCTAGCAGGTAAACTGCTTGCCACATAAGCATTTGGGCCAATGTTCAACCCCCAGAATGCACTTAAGCTGGGCATGGTTTATCATCTCAGTATGGGGGAAACAGAGCCAAGTAGATAGGTTCCTGGGGTTCAAGAGCCAGTCAGCCTGAGGTCCAGCCAGTGAGCCCCAAGTACCAGTGAGAGACTGTATCAAAAAGAAAAAAAAGAAAAAGAAAAATGATAGATGGCACCAGAGGAGAAACAGCTGCAGTTGTCTTCTGATTCCACGTGCACATGTACCCATACACCCTGGTGTGCCTCCCACAAATATGCAAATATACCCACACCCACATACACACCCACCCACCCCCATACACAACTAGTTTAAATGTATAACACAGGATATTGCATTTGTTTCTTTTCCAGACTCTCTGAAAACTGCAAATGGAAAGGAACTCAAAAGAATTTAGATTAAAACTTAATTTTAAAAAAGATAAGTAAGCACAATAGTGCTGGATGTCCACCAAGGCTCTCTCTTGATAAGGCTGAACCAAATATACCCCAAACACCCTGTCTTTAGGGAGACAACTTACCTCTCAGCTCCCCAAATGCACCTGCCTATAAAAACAAAAAACAAAACACACCACTGTTGGCTCCTATGAGACTTAAGAAATAGTGGCTAAGGTGCCCTGAGCTTTGGAGAAATACCCTTATGGCCTTTGCAAGAGATTTTTTAATTTTTTTTGGGGGGGAGGTGAATACTGCAAAAATGGTCCAGAAAAGCACCTGAGCTGGTGGTGAGTTGGAAACTGATCAGTTGCTGCATATCTTCATCCTGATCTTTGCTCCTTTCAGCAAGATGAGTAGGCACCCCAAAATTAAAAGTCCAGGAAAATGCTTCGTGACCAAATGAAGCCCTTCATAGCCTTTTTTCCCCTTTAACCATCATATTTACTTCTGAAAATCACAGTCTTGATGCAGAAATGTTACTTATTGTATCAGAGGCCAAAGGCAGTTAAGACAAAAGTCAGATGATCTGCCTGAGCCCAAGAGAGGGAAAATTGATTACAAAATCATTAGTTTTTGTTGGGATTTTTTTGCCTCTCTTTCATCTCCACCTCCCTTTTCACATTAATTGAAAGCCTCTACATTCTCCTTACTGACACAGAGAACATGGAGAGCACCTTCTTTAAAAGAACCAAAAAAGAAATTCCTTATAGATTTTTGTTCTAAGAGTGTTTTCTTTTCTAGTCTCATTTTCTTAACACGCCACTCATGTGGAGAGGCACAGGTGAGCTGTCATTCAGTAGCCATTACTGTGTTTCATATACAGCCTTTTTTTTTAAAAAAAAAAAATCTTGGGCTCTGAGAAACATGTGGCTTTTCTTCAGCATTTTATGTGTGCATCTATTTTTAATGGAGATGGAAAAGGTGAAATGATGTGAATATTATGCCTTGTACTATCAATGTGGATTGATGGCTTCTAATGTACGGCATATGATTTGGGTGAAACCCAGTAGAATGGCAGACTCTGGGAGAATTAATGGCCCAGTTGTCTCTCACTCCTAAGGCCAGGCAGAGGAGGCCAGCCTCGTTAGACTTCATCTGCTCTTTGTCTCCTTTGACAAGGAACAAGAAGAGTTTTGGTAAGGGTCACCTGTGTCATAGCACCCATTCCAGAGGCAGGTCTAGGTACTCTCACACAGTGGGTGCAAACGGTGCTTTGTTCCTGCTGGCTCTGAACCCAGAAAACAAGGTTAGTGTTGGAGGAGAGAATTAGGGTCCTCAAGCTTTCTGTTGGCTAGCCAAAGGATGGTGGGAATAAGGGGTTGGTAGAAAACCAATGGATACATGCATAAGCAAGTGGTCCCATCTTAGAGTTTATATGCAATGCCTTCACTGGATACCACCGGACACTTAGAAAGTGTGTGGACTGACTCCCAGAGAAGTATACAGTATATGGAATGTATCGCTTCCCCCATGTTTGTATATTCACAGTATTTGGAAAACTGCCTTCATTTTCTTGTGTGGGGAAAACTCTTGTTCCCTGTATTACTTGATCTCAGACCCACACCAGATGGATGGTTCAGTCTGTCTTTGAGTTAAAGGAAGCGTGCTTTTCTAATGTTATATTATTTACTGATCAGTGTGTTACTGCAACTTGAATCATTCTTTTACTGTTGTTGGGTATAAACTTATCCTGTACCAATGTATTTATTAACACTTGTATTTTAATATTGAGCATATCAATAAAAATATTTAAAAAATAACAGATTGTTTTTTACCAACTCTACAACACTTTTTGTGTGTTCTTTCTACACCATACTGTATATTTATGTGTAGAAAATATATTTTTTTATTCTGAATGTAGCATTTGTCAACACAAAGCATCGATTTGTACATTTTTCTCCAGTGGATGTCTTTGACCTCTGTTTTTATGTATAGAATATATTGCCAACATGATGATTTTTAGATTCCAACTTAGAGAGGGTTGGATGGTTCCAACAGTTCTGAAGAAGGAATGGGACCATTCTCTTATGACTCACATGCTCACTGCTTCTCTCTGAGTCTACTGATGGACTGACTCTTCTCATCCCATCCTGAGACACATCTCAGCAGGAAATGTCCCAGGGATTTCCTGAGAAAGTAAAAGTAAAATCAAAATCCTAGATCCTACTTGAACCCTCACTGATTGCAATAGTTCTGTCCTTAATCACGCAAAGAATGACCATAATAGAATCTCTCTCTGCTTTACATATCTTGTATATATCCACCCACAGAATAAACTCCTGGGAATGAGAAAACCCAGCTTAGTTAACAATTTATGATGGTAGAATGTTTTATCTCATCTTCTTTATTGTGGAGGTTAGAGATCTTTTTGTTTTTGTGTTTTCTTCTGGCCACCATGGTGACTTCCCTCCAGTTATCATTTCCAGTGAGGTCCCTCCCAAAGCATACAGCTCACTTTGAGGAATGCTACCTTGTGCTTATTCAATTAGCCAGATTTGATCAGAGCCATTATGAATCCCAACCTGGGTACAGCTAAAGGCCAGAGTCACAGGTCACAGGTCAGGTGAGCTTGCAGGAAAATTTCTGTGAAAAACACTCTTCTTCACTGGAAACATTATCCACCCCGTGCCCCACATCATGAAGCAGAGCCACCATGTGATCTCTCACATCTGCACAACCTAGCCTCCTCCTCCCTAAGTCACTGTAACTCCAGTCAGCATACGCTTTGCAGAAACTAAAATCCCCAACAAAATGTCATTTGGCACACTGTGCTTCAAAGAAGCAAATGTGCAATCAAAGCAATGGCTACTGCGTGGTTATCAATACAAGCAGATTGGATTCCAGAAAAAAAATAATAATAAAATGAGGGAATGCAAAAGTAGATCCAGCTCAACACTACAATCTGTATCAAGCAGCTGCTTCAGAGAATCTGTTTGGGAAAGAGTTAATGCAACTAAATTGACCCAAACATAGATTTATAGATGACTTATGAAAGCATAGCAGGATTCACCACATTTTCTAAAAGGCAATGATTTTTGTGACTGAATCATAATAAAATACTAATGGCATCCATAAGCAATCCCCATGACCCTAGGCCTAGGATTCACACAGCTGCAGGGTTCAGTTTTCCACAGCATGGGCATTCTTCCTGACCTGGCTCCCATGATAGGATTTGTGCTGTAAATTGGCTATTGGGTGTGTTCTTTCTCTTGGTTCTAACTGTAATTATGACTCCTGGAACCTGTCTGTCTGTATGCACGTTTCTCCTTATAAGGAACTCTGGAAGGAAATTGGAGAAGCCTTTTTTAGACATGACAGTGCCTCCAATGTGAGTAGATGGAGGAATTTTTTCCCCTACACATTTAAAAATACACCTGTAGAGAAAATGAGAGTTGTGATCTACATGAGTTTAGCTTGATTAAAGTTAATACTCATGAGGCAAAGTTTAATACCAGATGTGTCTTCTGACCTCCTGCTGACTCCTGGATTTCAGTTCACCTTAAAGGGCAAGTGTTCTTTTTATCTGACAGGCTTAATTGTTTTTAACCACTTAAGAAACAGGAATTCATACCTGGCTCTCATTTTCCAATACCTACTAACTTCTGTGCAAAATGGAAGCCACGCAGAGGGAATTACATCTGGCCCTAAATTATTATATTTTTTCCCCAACAGGAATCTATTCATTTACAGCTTTCCAGTTTCCCCAGCCTGCAAGAGGAGGATAAATCTAGGAAGGATGATTCTGAGAGAGAAAAAGAAAAGGATAAAAACAGAGATAAATCTGAGAAACCCAAGATCAGAATGTTATCAAAAGGTGAATTTGAAAAACATTTCCTTACCTTGCTTAATTTGGGCACATGCATCGCCAGATGACATTGCAAAGGGAACAAGTCTTAGAGCCCCGGACACTCTGCACCTCATTTTCTAAGTGGTCCTGTATGTGCTTAAAAAAAAAAGTGACCCTCACTGTCTTTTTATTCCTGATCTCTTATTTGTAAAGCTAGAGAGGTTATTTTTAGAATCACTTGTTTCTTTGAATTCACTCTTGAATCTCCTGTTCTCCATGACAAGCTGAGGCAAAAGAGGGAATTCAAATACATTCTTGCATTCAGGTTCATTGACAACTGACTCAGATTAGTGAACAACGGTGACACACAGCTTTATAGTTTCATTCACTCTTACCTCAAAAGAAAGACAGCAAGGACCTCAGCACCTTCCCACAGTAAGCCACACATGTGTGTGCAGGGCAGTAGACTCCCTGGCACAGAGGACTTTGATCTGTGCATTTGTATACTATTTTGTGTTGTTTCATGTGAAAACAAGAATCATATTTCCATTTGGAAAAGAGCCCATCCTTCTAAAGCCACAGGCCTACAGTCTAGAACTTTGAGACTGCTGATACACTTTTAATTGCACAAAGCAGATGTAAGTTAAGCTGTAATGAAGAGAGTCAAGCTGGAGACAGCTCAGGGAATTCCACCAGCCTAGGGATGGCAGCTACTCTTAATGTTATGCCCTGCAAATATATCCCTGCTTCAGATGGTTAGCTTTTGTCTGGATGAAAACCTCATGCTTATGGTGTACAAGAAGAAAGAAGTTAAAATTTCTAAAATGGCTGTATAAACCTGGATTTATCCAACACCTGGAGATCAGAAAGACTTGAAAATATTTATCCCCTGCCATATTTTGTAGTGATTAATTTTTAGATAGCTTCATTTTTTTAAACTGCTTTGTTTGAACCAAAAAGGTTGTCACGGGATGGAAAGCTCTTGAGGTCTCTGTGGGTTGGATGTACCTGTCATGTGGAGGCAGTGCCCCACTGGTTTTCAGCATAGTGAGAACGCATGGAGTTTGACACTCCACCACCACCAGTGTGCACACTTCCCCTCCCCTGACACCAGGATCTTCCCACAGTCAAGAACCTCTCAACCCCCAAGTATCATCTTCATTCTGATGTTATCCTGCCAGGTAGTGGGTATTTTCACACCCGGGGGCTGGGGGGGGGGAGGGCTTCCTTTAAAATTGACCTAAGTGGGAAGGAAATCAGAAAGGTTGCAAATGCTTTCCCACCCCTGCATTCCCATCATCACCAACCTTGACAGCTCAACTTTGTCCTGCTCTGTTTCAGACTGCAGCCAAGAGTACACGGATTCCACCGGCATAGACTTACACGAGTTCCTGATTAACACTCTGAAGAACAATTCCAGGTAAATGGTGACACAGGCCCTTTGTTTGGGGGCAGGAGATTCAGATAGAATGTTACAAAGTGATCAATCAAAATACCTCTAAGAAATCAAGCATACAACACAGACGGCCTTCCCTGATACCTCCGCTCAACTTTCCCTGTGGATGGCTAGCCCTAATAGTTTCATAGTTACCCACTGCCTAAGTTAGAGTGTGCCAGCTCTAGCTCCCTAAACCCAAGGAAAGATTGAAGGAAAAGGAAGATAATGGAAATGATCAGTAGTACATCAATCAATCATGCCTCAGTGCAGGCACATATCCACGTATATTCAGTACTCCAGCTTAGCGTCATTCCAGTTTCTTTTGACTTTAAGTTTTTATCAGTTGTATTTTTATTATTAAAAAATTTACTTGTCATAATTAGCATTAAAATGATAACATTTAACAATACCAAATACTTAACAAGTGAGATTAAAACAAAATCCTAAGTTCAAAGTCATGGTATGTAAACCAAGGAGTTGACATAGCCTGAAGATGAATTAGATAGACATTGGCCTTCTCTTTTTTCCCTTGCATTTGATGAACTGTATTTGCCCTTTGGAAACTGAAAAGTACATGAGACCTTTCCTTTGAACGTTTATTTTTCAGGGACAGGATGATACTCTTGAAAATGGAGCAGGAAATGATTGATTTCATTGGTGACAGCAAGTATGTTCAATGGCAATGCTAGCTAATTTGATGACATGTCTTAGTTCAGTATCTGAGTTAATGATTCATGCCAGAGAGAGTTGTGAAGAGATAAAACATCCGTTCATACGGTTCTTGGTATATTAAATGGAGAGGTCACTGGATTTTCGAGTGGTCATTGCTTGGATCATGTGTGTTCCTGCCTGTTAAATTTGTGACAAAATGGCCATAAACAGGGGGACACCGATTAGCGTGGAGGAGGTGTAACAAGAAGCGACCCTTTTCATTTTTGTTATAGTTTTTTAATGGGCTCCAGCTGGCTGCAGTCAGTTATGCCTGGAAATAATTGTGCTTCATTTGGTGTCAACTGGGTAATGACACATCTCCAGATAGACATCTACAATCTCTCCTAAGTCATGTAATCTGTCCTCTGCCTGCCTCTGTTGATAAGGTATCATGAACTAAACCAGAACACTTTGTAACAGATGAGACAAATGTGGGGCTGCAAAACAGCCAGGCCTAGTGCAGCTTGATCAATAAATCTATGATAGCAGAAATTTGTCTGTGGGAGAGAACATCGGGTAATGCTGAAATGAAATGCGGCCAGAGTTTCTGGATAAAAGGAGACAGTGACATGTAAAAACCTATAAAATGTGCTACAGACATACAATGAAGATGCCGATTTCACTCCTCCTGTAATCCTGTTCCAGTAACCACTATAAAAAGTTCCCGCAGATGTCATCATATCAGAGAATGCTGGTCCATCGGGTGGCAGCCTACTTCGGATTGGACCACAACGTGGATCAAACTGGAAAATCTGTCATCATCAACAAGACGAGCAGCACCAGAATGTAAGTCCCATATTGGAGTTTGTTTGGAATTTTCTTTTTCTGTCAGGGATTGGTTCATAAGATCACAGTATACATTCCAAAGTGTATGACATTTAATACGTACAGCAGTGCTGGTTATCTTTCTGTGCTTGCAGCAGTGGGGTGACGTAGATCAGTAGAAGGCTGCATGAGAACCAGCCAAGTGTGCAAACTCTAGGCAGTGAAGCAAACACATTTCCTGTTTTTGTTTTTGTTTGTTTGTTACAAAGCTCATGATTTTCTTCGTTCTATTAGCATTCTGTGAAATTACACATAAAAATGGTGGGGATTGATTACAAAAATAGCATTCAGATGAAAATAACAGGCATTGCGCTGGGAGTGTAGCTCAGTGGTAGAGGACTTGATAGATAGCACGCACAAAGTTCATTAGGTTCCCAGTACTGCAAATGGATAAAGTCTAAGTAAGTAAATAGATAAATAAACCCTTCCTGCAAAGCCAGGCAGGGTGGCATCACCTGTGGTCCCAGCACTCTGGAGAGTGAGGCAGGAAGATCATGAGTTTGGGGATAGTCCCAGATACATGGAGTGATTCTGTCAAAAAGGAAGGGAGGGTGGGGGGAGGGCAGAAAGAGGGAGAAGGGATGGGTAGGGATAGGATTCTTAAAGCCGTGACACACAGAGACACAGAGACATTTGTCCTTTTCTTCTTTCCTTTTTTCTGATGCGGAGACATGAATTCTGTAAAAGCTCTGAACAGGATACAGAAACCCTGCTTCTAAACCCTGTCCTGCTGCCTGGGCCAAGCAGCCTGCTGCATTTGCTATTTGCCACCTTGGTGTCTCCACCTGCGAGAGGTTTAAGCTTGACAGATATCTAAGTTTTAGCCCTAAGAAGACAATGCTTGCTTTTTCTCAAGATCATCGTAGTCTTTCATTTTCGCATCTTTTCCCGTTGTCCCATCGAGTCATCAAGAACATCATAATAGGAGATGAAATTGCCTGGACACTTGCAATTGTCTCCTTTGAACTCATGTAGCTTTTGAATAGAGCTGAAGCCACTTCTTTAACAGAAGGTGTGGCATCCTCAAAAAAATAGTAAATCATCTTTTAAAAAAAACTTTCTTCCTTTGAGGTGTTCGGTGAGCAGTGAATCACATGGTCTTCGTGTCTGGATGTTAGTGCGGGGCACTTTTGTGTTGAACAGAGCTCTCACGGTTAAACCATTTTTATTTTCTGCTCACCACAGGTTAGGGCAAGCGGGGTGGCCTCAAGCCTCCTCATCTCCTCAGAGATCCGCCTGAGCTCAGTAGAGGCAGAGAGACAGTTAGGAGGAGGAGCACAGAGTAAGGAGCCGAGACCAAGAGTGTCTATTATCTCAGGGACACTGAGTGCTTTGCTTTTTTACTCTGAGTTTCAAATTGCTTATATATCTGTAGAACAGTTTGAAGTGGATAATGTTTAAGGGCTCTTGAAGCTGCAGAATTGTTGGGTCCTGCAGTTGCCTTCTACTGCGCTGGCAAAACACATCTCAAAATTTAGCAACTTTCCACTTCAACTGATTGTTGACTCTAGTGCCTCCTGTTTTGACTGTCATGGAAAGTAAAGGTCACTCTGCTTTAAGCCACCACATCTTTGTTTTCCATCAGATGTACCCAGCTGGTTTCGGTGTACTGTTTACGTTTTTCACTCTCCATTCTAGCTTTTCTGTGGCTTGAAGGTACCATAAAACAGGGACAGACTCACTGAGAACAAAATAGAGAAGTGATTGACTTCCTCTTTTAAGTGGTCTCTTATACTTCCCTCTGAGGCCAAGGGAAATGTGGATCAGTACATAGATGGAGCAGATTCTGCCTGATAGATTTACAGCTTGCAGATAGTGGGTTTGTGAATAGTTCCAATGGTTTTACAGTCTCCTAGTCATGAATATCAGTCCATGTTTATATACTAGTTGCTGGTGATGTTGAGCCTCTGTGAATACTCCCGATAGCTGTTTAACAAAGTGGCCTTTTTCACTGTGGTAGCTCTATATGACCACTTACATTTAAATTTAGATACAATTGGAGTTTTAAAATTCAGTTTCTTTATCAGGTTAGTCATATTCCAACTGCTTCCAGAGTCAGAACACATCTAGAACATTTCTATGACTCCAGAAACTTCTTAACTCTTCAGTAGATCCTTGTGTTTCCTTCAAGTCCTCCAGCACCACTGCAGGATATAATCTGTCTTGAAGGCTTCCATTAACTGACTAACAGAAGTCCTAGCACTAAATCTTTTCTCTTCCAGAGAAGCACAAACTTGGGTCACTTTTAGAAAGTTTTCTTGTGTGTGTCTGTGTGCTTGCAGAGGTGTGTGTCTATCTATGTGAACCACATGAATGCAGTTGCCATGGAGTCCCGAAATGCCATCAGATCTCTCTTGTTCAGGAGTTGTGGGCAGTTGTGAGCTGCCCAATATGGGTGCTGGGAGCTGAACCTGGGTCCACTGCTAAAGTAGCAAGCACTGTTAACCTCTAAGCCCTCTCTCCAGCCCCCAGCTTTATTTGTCCTGGGCATTGTCAAATAGACTGTGCATGTTTACACCTTCAGAGGAGTGCACAGTGAGTGTGGGCGGACAGCACCTCTTGAGGGTTGGTGACTGCTTTGGTGGCAGCACCAACAAATCCTGTCTGACAAGCCCATCTGCCCTTCCACCGTCCATCATCCTTCCCTGAGTCAAGCCATGCCAACCCCACTGTAAGCTGTGGAGTTTCTAGGCATTAGCCGGAGCATTAAACCCTCTTGCTTCATCCCAGTCACCATGTTTCTAACCCTCTGTCATTTAAGTGACTCTTAGAGGGAAGGGGGCTAGTGGCAGAGTTTGAGGGTAAACTGCTATCCTTGGAAAAGGAACAAAAAGGGAAGAGGATGAAATAAAGGCTCTCTCAAATAGGTAGCATATTGCAATTTCCAAGACATGCATCATATTAGTGGTGCTGGTAAAGCCTGTTGTTTCATGAGGATGTATGTATGCTAGAGCTGTCTACTGGGTTTGAAGGTAGACATGGGCCATTCTCTTCACAGCACTGTGTTGAAGATCTAGGTGCCTTGATGGGGAAATTTGGATTCTCTGCAAACATGAAGAGCTGCCTCACCAGAGCAACTGATAGTCAATAAGAGCCAGGCTAATTCTGAAGTATTCTTGGATTCAAATACATTGACTCATAGAAGGGAGAGAGCTGGGATGGTACCCTGTAAGTGGTGTGTTTGAGGAGTATTTTTCTAATGTGTGCAGGTTTCTGATGCTCCCATGCAAATTCCTGAAAACAAACAGTTTAATTACCATCATGGCTTAGGAGAACAGGTCCAGAATGTGACTGATTGGATGGATTATGGAAATGGGTTAAAAAGTTAAAGAAGAGATACGCTTTATTTATTTATTTATTTATTTATTTATTTATTTATTTATTTATTTATTTATTTATTGGTTTTCAAAGACAGGGTTTCTTTGTGTAGCCTTGGCTGATTCTCACTCTGTAGATCAGGGTGGCCTCGAACTCACAGAGATCTGTCTGCCTCTGCCCCCAAGTGCTGGGATTCAAGGCGTGCACCACCACCGCCCAGAGAAAGCCTTCTTTGTGTTAGTTTGTTGCTTGTTTTCTTCAGTGAGTCCTTCCGGTTCTGCAAGGTGCCCCTGTCACATCGGTGCCTGCATTACCACCACACTACGGTATCGGAGAAAACACAGTCAGCAGCTGCCTTCTGCCTTAGCTTTCTGGACGAGGTGTGGTTTAAGATGTTCCAAACAGTGACTTGAGACTGTTACACTTTTCACAGAAAGAAAATAGTTCTATGTGAAATTCAGACTTCTTAGGTCATAAGTACAATCCCTGAGTACCATGTGGGAGAATGAATGGCCTCTGTCTGCCAGTCTCTGTCATATCCTCAGTTATCATCCATTAGCTCTCCCATGACGGAAAGAATTGGTCTCAGGCCACACTCCCGAGTGAGTGAACTGATACCATCTCCTGCTTAGAATCATGACACTTACTATGTGTTCACTGTACCTTGCACTTTAATTCTTGGTTTATTTATTACATCACATCTAATCCTACAAAGAGAATTTCAGTTTGGGGCCTACAGAGAAAGAATAATTAACAGGACTCAGATCTAAACCAGTGTGTATAATGTGATGATTTTTTTCAAGCTGAATCATCTTAACTTTTGAGCCAAGTCTTCAAGATGTGTGCCTGGATTAAGTAGGGATCCAACTGTTTAATTCCTTTGTTATCTGATAAGAAATAGGTATTGAAGAGCTGTTATTTTAAAGATATTTTGAAGACTTTCTTACTCCTATCAGTAAACATCAGAATCTTCTTTAATTTCATAGTCCCTGCTATCTTGTTCTGATAAGAAATGGGTATTGAAGAGCTGTTATTTTAAAGATATTTTGAAGACCTTCTTATTCCTATCAGTAAACATCAGAATCTTCTTTAATTTCATAGTCCCTGCTATCTTGTTCTGGTTTGTCACTACTAACATGTGCGGCTTGTTGAACGAGAACATCCATGAGTTATGCTTATCAATAATGTTAGTACAGAAGGTAATCTATTCATTGTGTTCTTACAAAACCTCTGCCACCAGTAGCCCTAGACTCTCTTTAGATGCTCAGGAGCCTCAGCTCTACGGGGAACAAGAAAACATGATGTTAAGAGTTGGAGTCACGTCACTAGAGGCTTTGCATTAATACTTTTTCAGTACTCTTGAGATCCCCAGAGAACATGTGGCTTTGTAGCAGAGAGGTTGTGTTCTCCATGCCCTGTAGCAGTGGACAAAACTGAGGAGAACCAACAGTCAAGTAAATGCAGGGAAGGGAGGATTCATCCAGTATATCTAAACAAATTTCTGCTAATACTCTTCATTTATTGAGCAGTGGCAAAGAGCTGAGCTTTCTGCAGAGATGGTGGCATCTAGCTCATATAGCCATCTAACAAAAGACTATTTTAAACATCACACTAGTGCCTGGAATAGAGAGGAAATCTGCTGA